ATTTATATTATTTTATTATAACAAATTAACAACTAAAAAAAAATATTTTTTCATAAATGCGAGTTATTTAATGCGAGGCCAACTGCTTGGTCTTTTGAGAAACTCCACCAGTACCCCGTCCTCTGAAGTTCGAAAGTCGAGGCCGAGGCCCTACTCCGAATGCCGGTGCAATCCCAACCGGCTATGCCCAGCGCCTACGCTTTATTAGGCTTACGGCGATCGCTGGCGCGCTGATTCGGCCAACGGGATCACCAATATCCGATCCCGATGGGGAACAACTGCGCTAATGGTCGCCATGGTTTCTTCCAGTCCGTCTCCGCTGCGGTCATGGGCCGCGGTCATGCCGCTGCAGCCGCATCCTCCCTCTCCACACCTTCCGCAACTCCATCCACCCCTCAAAATCCCACGGCCATTGCGGAATCCATCGGGACTGATAAGCTGCTGGAGGTCGTCGAGGTCCCCAACGATGCCCCATCAGCCAAGCCGTCGTCTCCACCGCAGGCAGCGTCGGAGACATCCCCTTCCCGGAAGAAGCCCACGCACGTAAAGCGGGTATCCAGCGCCGGTCTCATGGCTGATTCTGTTCTCCAGAGGAGAACTGGGCGTCTCAAGGACTTATATAGCCTCGGGCGGAAGCTGGGGCAAGGGCAGTTTGGAACGACCTACTTCTGCATTGAGAAAGCTACGGGGAAGGAGTTCGCTTGCAAGTCGATCGCCAAGAGGAAGCTTGTCACGCAGGAGGATGTCGATGATGTGAGGCGGGAGATTCAGATAATGCATCATTTGGCCGGGCATCCCAATGTGATTTCTATTATTGATGCTTATGAGGACGCGGTAGCTGTGCATGTTGTGATGGACCTCTGTGTTGGAGGGGAGCTGTTTGATCGGATTATTCAGAGGGGACATTTCTCGGAGAAGGCGGCAGCGGAGCTTACTAGGGTAATTGTTGGGGTTATAGAGGCGTGCCATTCGATGGGTGTCATGCATAGGGATCTCAAACCTGAGAATTTTCTGTTCGTGAACCAGAAAGAGGATTCGCCCCTGAGAACAATAGATTTTGGTCTTTCTGTTTTCTTCAAGCCAGGTATTCTTTATTTTTGTTGTGCTTATGTATGGTTGGGTTGATTAAAGGTCTGAGTGTTGATTTTTGTGGAGCTTTCTCTCTCGGTGTTTCCTTTATCTTTTTAAGTATGGGTTTCTTCAACTCGCTTTTCAATGAACTTGCAACCACAAATTGCGTAGATTTGCTATCAAACAAATAAAAAAAAGGCGGCGCTAGTATATGCCGCGATAGAGTTTAAGAATAATGCATACTGCGTCTTAGCGTTGCACGAATATCTAGCTCACACACAGAGAACACAATATATTTTTACATGTAAAACCTAAAAAGGGGAAAAACCACATGGCTTAGCCCAGTCTGAAATGATTCCAGTAGTGTTTGGGTAGATTACACCTGAGGGCGATCAGATAACAAATGCTAACCGTTTGGTTGAAATCTAGTGACAAACGGGGATGAAAGTTCAACATCACTCGGTGGACTGACAGAATTCCGTTGCTATTTGAAAATTCGGGCGTCAGTTGGTAGCCTGACACTGGATTGACATATCTTCAACGTCGGGCGGTGGTTCGGC